ATCACATTGGACATGCTACTTGAGAACACTCTAAATCTGCTAAGCTACTAATGACTTTAGTAACTAACAATAAAAATTATAAATTATGGTAATTTTGATACAAGTAGATTTTTTTCTTAAAAGCTAAATTCTGGCTACAAGAAAACTTGACTGGAAGTTTTAAAACCTATATAATGTAAAATGAAAAGCCAACTTTGTATAGTCTAAAAGCTCAATTATTTAATGTTTATAGTAAATACTTTAATAAACTAAACAATATCTTAATTTTACATATATAAAAGTCAAATATCATCATTACCTTACTGTTATTCAAGGTTCAGAATATTTAACTAAATATTTATAAATAAAAAATTATTAAAAAATTTATTAGAATATTATGTGAGTTCATTAAATTCATTACAGATAGTTGCTATATCTCAAACCATCTGAGTAATACTTGTTGCTCAGTAAAAGCATTCTTTTACTTTGAGTGTTAAATAGATCTTTGCAAGACTTTAAAGATAAGTTCTACGTATATATATATATATCAATCAGTTGGTCAATTGAAACCTTAATCTAAATGATTATTTGAAACTTGGGGTTCAGAATGGAATTTGGAATATAAAATAGAATTTGATTAGAGTTTAGAATTTGGAATTGGGATTTGTTCAGCTTTGCCATATAATATAGCTAAACAATCATATTTGTTCATGGTCAAATCCCAAATTTCATGAGTTTGTCTAGCAAGTATACTTGTATATCATCACAAAGTTGTAGTTATGCAGAATTTTATATAGTTTTATAAAAGTTTTATATAAAATATATTTAAAATTTTACAAATATAATGTAAATTTACATAGTTATATTTTTTTAGATTTATATAATTTTACATATATTTTTATATAGAGTTATACTAGTATGAAATATGAAGAGATGGTTCTGTTCAACTTTTTGTTGTGAAATATTTTTTTCTAATTTAGAAAGTATTTTGATTATTATGTTTTTACCTATTTTAGTAGATATTATAAAAATATCATATGTACGTTATGCGAAATTTTGATAATAAAGTATGTAATTATTATATTATAATTGTATGGTGTGAATATTTCATGATTATAATTTATAAATAGATTATTACTACATTTTTGTGATTAATATAATAATATATATATTATAAATGTATCAGGTGTAAAGTAATCATTTTATTAATTTACAGAATACATAATTGTACTATTATTATTGTGATGTAATTGCACATATATATAATTTGCACATGTATGGTTGCATAAATAATAAACTTGAGAAAACTCAAAACTATAGAGAGTAACTATTATAACATGCTCATAATCATCTATCAAATTTGTAATTGCTAAATTGCTATGATATTTTGATATACTTTATAGTTCTATGCATGATAATATTGTAATTTAATTGTTATTTATGATTTGAGTGGTGCAAAGTAAAAATGATTATTTAATACTACAAAAAAATTTATATAATTAATATAAAATCAATTCCAGGTTTTGCTTTGCAATACTTATTTTAAAAATTAATATTTATCAAATAAACTAACTCAAACTTAACTACATGCCATGTATTATTAGAATAGCAAGATTGTAACTATATTACTGCAATTGCCAGAATAGCAAGTAAGTTCTATTGAATTTTTTATAATAATCCAAATAACTGTAATGATTTTAATACAAACTAACACAGTATTGACTATATAAAAATCATAGTAATTTTAGCTATATATAGTAGTAGTTATAATAACAAGTGAGTTCAATAATAAAATTTAGTTATAATACAACTTACCATATTTTATGATCCAAACCACCCCTCTGTTAGATTATCTGATATTTTTATTTGTTAGATTTTATTTATTTTTTTTATTTTATGTATTATTACATATATTGTAAATAAACTATTATATGCACTATTTAAATATCTACATATCTGATAATTGGTTTATAACAGGAGGTGGTTTGGACTGTAAAATATGGTAATCATATAGAAATCATAATAATTTGGTTGCAAACTAACTTAATTTTAACCATACAAACTATGATTATAAAGATATTGAGCAGGATCTTTCTAGTAGAAATTATGCTAATTTTAATAACTATATGTTTTATATTAGAGAGTAATTTCTGTGACAGAATTTATTAGATTATAATCTCAATGCAAACTAACTCAATCTTAACCAAATAATGTGGTTTATAGAATTGTAAATATGCTCAATAACAAAATTCTTATTAACAATAATTATAGTACAACTAACTCAACAATAACTACAATTATTTGTAGTAGAAATTGCACCAATTTAAATATTACTCACCTTAATTACACAGAGATCAAGATGATTCTAATACAAATTAATAATATGGGCTGTCATCAATAGAAATCAAATAGATTGCATTTAAAAAAAATTAATATCTTAATTTTTACAACTTATATTGATGAATTTTGAGCCTATCCAAGCTTTCTTTTAAATATTAATTCATCAAGATAACCCCAAAATTTATTGAAATATAAATTATAAAAGTTAAAATATTAATTTTTTTTAAAATGTTAATCTGCTTGATTTCTATTAATAATAGCCTATATATTCTGTTGTTATCAAAATAGTAAGTACTCTGTGATAGAAATTTTTATAGTAGAATTCAAATATTTTATGTTGTTAGAATAGCAAGTAAGAATTTTTTATTATAATTTTGTTGAATTTTTATACAAAGTAACTTAGTCTTAATTATATAGAAATTATGATAATTCTAATGCAATTAGCTAAACCTTAATAATTAAAATACAAACTAAACAATTTCATATAAATTTGTAACAGAGTTTTTTTTAATGGAAATTATAATAATTCTGGTGTATCTAATACAACAATATCACTCTTTTTGATTTAGATTTTGAATTGAGATTTTTTTTTATCTATGAATCAACCTTAATTACTATGTACTGCAACAAAATAATTTACAGTAACTCATGGTAGAATAATGATAATTCAAGTTTAAACTCAATACAATCTTATTACCAGAATAGCAAGTAAGTTCTGTACTAGGAATATTCTTTCTAAAAATATAATAATTATAATGTAAACTTAGTGATTTAAGCTGGCTATAGTAGCTATGACTAAGCTGGCTTAGCTAGCCAAGCCAGCTAATGTAATATAATCAGCTGGCTAATGCGGCTAAAGATCATATGATTAAATATATAGTAGTATTAGATCTAAATTAGATCCCAAAATTCTGGAATGAAATGAACATACATGTCTATAAGATAATATAATCCACATGATCTTGGTTGAATGCAATGATCAGTTAAACCTTATTCAAACCTTAGACTATGCAACCCATACTATTTTTATTTTGTACTCGTAGCCTTACCCAATTTATACTTATTATAGCTAATATATTGATTACCATATAAGGATATCTATACAAATATAGAAGTTGATGCATGATGAAAAGTTATTTGATACCTCAGAAGGCAAATTGAACCCTCTATAATTAAGAAATAGCTATATAATTAAGATGACTAAGTGAAAAGAACTACTTACTAAATGAATTAGTTATCCAAGATGAACACATGGTATTTAATTATTATAAAATCACCCTCATTCACAAACACAATTATTGGTTTTTGATGAAATGCCTTTAAATGAATGGAGATGTCCAGAAGCACTATAATATAAACAAAGGCATTGGAGGAAGATTAGTGGAGAAAAAGAAAATGTGTGTAAGCAGAAATGGATAAAAATAAGACCAACAGTAGAGTAGTCTTAATTAATTATATGTATTGAAAATGTATTTCAAGACTTACTTTTGTGCTTCAATAAAATATTGTTCAGTTCCTGACTTATCTAAATAAAAACAATACCTGTGTCTTTATATACAAGTCATAAAATTATTTAGACCATTAAGAAACTTAATGATTATGACCATGTGATTGATATGAAGAGATTTCATGATCATGCATCTTGAGTTATTGTTAGTTTAATCCTTGAACGACTTCTTGTATCTTCATATACATTAGCTGTTTGCCTCTTTCGAAACCCAAATCACTTAATTAAAGCCTCTAGTTAGAAGCTTGAGTTAGTCAACTTGAAGGTTGAGAGCCAAGTGTTCATTAGAAGCTTGAGTTAGTCAACTTGAAGGTTGAGAGCCAAGTGTACACTTATTATCAAACCCCAATTGCATTGAACTGATTAAGAGGTGGTTTGAGTGTAACAGTAGGATTCCAGTAAATTCCGAAAAGGAAAATGAAATACAAGCAAGGACGAGCTAACCTTACGGCTTAAATCACTATGCTAACTAACTAAATTCTTCATGCTAGTGAGATAGAGAATAAGTTTTTAAGAAAATTTTTACAAATACTCATAAGATTTTATCTCATTAAACTCACATCGAGTCGCCCTTATAAATTTTCAATACCCTTAGAAACCTCGTACATTCAATCCACATAGCATTATTATCAGAGCTACACTGCACATACATTAATCGAACCTCCTTTCTGGTTTTTAGCGCGTTAAGATATATATATTTGAATTTTACATGTCACACATGATCGTACTAGTCCTGTGCGGCATCGCATGTCGCGCAGCTATCCTTATGTATAAATTACAAAAATTTTTAACTTAAATATTAAAGCTAGAATTAGATTTTAAAGGTTGAGTTATGGTTTGAGAAAGGGTTTCGAGCATGCTGAACACATATACATAGTAAATCGAACATTAATTACGCTAGTCATTTTTGAGAAATAGTAAAGTAAATTAAATTTTTTTCATATAGATATAAATAAAATTTATACAAACTTTATATTTATATAATATTAAATAAAATTATATATAAAAATTACATAAAAATTCTTACAATATAAGTCTACATTGGGTTTGTAAATCAATATAAAAATTTTATACAATATTTATATAATTTATAGAGATTATAAAAAAACAACTTGCTAATAGCATGTATATACACAAAATATGCACAATTAAAAAATTTTTATTTGCACAGGATCTATCTGTAATGTGCGGCACATCCACAATTATGATGCTGAATTTTAGGCAGTTGTTCCCTAATCTACAGGAAGACATTCAGCGAAAGCACACTCGAGGCAAGTCCGAGGAAAATAAACGCATTCATATCCATCAGGACATCCATCAAAACATCCTATAACTATTGGGGGGCAATAAACACATCCTGTTATTTCCATTGGTTAATGTTGATTGTATGTTAGTTCTAAATTTATAGATGATAGGAAATAAGAGATTAATGTAAGCTAAGTTTTATCATTTACCAAATGCATAATCCGTATGATCGATTATGACAAGCAAAATAAGAGCCAGAATAATAGTAAAAATAAAATAAAATTTTGTCGTCATTGAGATAAAATTTATATATAATTTGAATGTTTAGATTTCAAGAAAAATTGTATACTTTGAAAATTAGATTTCAAGGAAAAGAAAATTACAAGCTTTATATAGTTATTAATTGCACTGAATAAATGAAAAAGTCATGTAACCGGCTCGATGGCTTGCATATTTGGTGCGCTATGTGGCGTTTTGCGCTGTCCATTTTTTAGAATTATTTATAAGATTTATGTTAATATTTTGACCATTGTTTTTAACAAAGCCGTAAATAACTTTCCTTATGGAAATTCTGAGATTCCGTAAATTCCAATGTAATTTTTTAGTATCAGAAATTTTCGTTACAGTACTTGTAAATTAATATTAATATACTATACCAGGAAGTACATGGTGTATGATTTACTGGAAGAAAGTGTGTGTGCGATTGATTGGATGATCCGTCCTCGTGGCTTCATGAGGCTTTTTGTACATCGACAGTATGAATAATTTTTTGATTCTATAGAAAATTTATTTAAATTATTTAATAATACAAGCCTAATGTGGATTTGCACAGTTATTTATTTAAGTCTATATATACTTCTATAGAGAATTATGTAAAATCACAAAAAGTTTTTAAATTAGGGAGGGTTTTTAGTATGCAGTAGATTTACTTAGTGTATCGAACATTGATTACCTTAGTCACTTTTTGAGAAATAGCTAAAAAATTCCATGAATTTTATATTTATATAAATAATAAATAAATTGGACATTGGTGGATTTGCGGAATTGGTCTAAATTAGAGTCCCTGGATTTAACAATTACAAGATGCACAGTAGTTGAAGTTTTGGGGTTTGTTTTACAATCACATTGTTTAGGCTAAGCTATGATTGAATTTATAAGAAATAGCTCCGCATAAGCACAACTCCTTTATAAGCACAATTTTTAAAAAAATTTACTATGTGTTCAACTGTGCGATTATATGGTAGATCCTAATTTAAGCCTAATTCGCCGATATATAGTTGTTAGACGAAACTTTTCGCATGATGACGAAAGACGAAGCCTAAACCCAAAAGACGAGACCTCTAATTCTCCTGACGAAAGACGAAACTAGGTTTCGCGTTTCGTCAGCGCGAAACCTCGAGGTTTTGTCTGTCTGACAACTGAGTATAACCCAGAATAGTTATAATTTGCGATAAGAGGAAAAATATATTATACTAGCATTCTTACACATCCTTACAGATGTGCAGTAGTCTACAAATCAATGAAAAAAAGAAATTGAATGAGAAGAAATAGTTTATTTCAATTATCTTAAACAATAAATAATAAGTGTTGCTAACTTACCCACCTGGTGAAATAACTCGTCACGTGATTTACAACTATTAACAAATTTGATTATACGTATATATGTAAGAGCTATATATATACATATATGTTTATTTAACTTTTATATATAAATCAACCAATTAAATCATTGTTTAACCAATACACATGGTTTTAATGATTCTATTTAATATATAGTAAATCAAACCAGATCTTACAAATCACGTTATAGCAGCAACATATGGCCTTCTATAGCCTAAATAAACCTTTATTTCTTTCTATTATGTATTATTCTTAAAACTCAAAAATGCTAATAATACTTAAGCACTATCAAGAATAAACAAAATAGTCTTTTTTTAATTTGGACATTGTGGTGCATAATAACCTGCTTGTCTATATTTTTGGCAGTGTCTTTCTTGTTTTGAACTATTAGAACTTTGAACAAACTCAGTTTATTGTTATTTGCTTGATTGGTTAAGTTACTAATATTATATACTTTTCTTTAGATGAAACTTCACCTCCAGATTTATATTAATTAGGTTAATGCCTTTTATGCTATACATAAATTAGATCAACAATAATTATATTTTCATTATTTTGCTGTTTGTTTAATTCAACTTTTATCTCTTCAACAAACTTTTCTAAATAATTGATGAATTTACTAACTTTATTTGCCTGAATTGCATAGTTAAAAGCTTTCTTGGTATACCTTATTCCAAGGCTATATTTCTGTTTGGGATTTTGTTTTTGTTTAATGATTGCTATTTTTCTAATATCTATAAGATAATCAAATAATAAAAGTTGTAAAAAAAGCTAGCTTAAAGTATTTCTAACAATTTGGTACATTGGAACTGAAGAATAAGTCTGTTAGTCAATATAGGCTTTTTTATCTCTATACTACTATAGAGAAATAAAAATAATATAAAAACATATATGCTAAGAATATGATATAACTCTAAAAAAAGTTTACAAACAATGCTACAATTAATAAGCTAAAAACATATACATTGATAAGATCTATTATTAAGTAAAATAACATATTAAAACATTGTCTGTAGAGATCAATGCCTTGCTACTTTCCATACTTTCTAGATATTATTAAATAATATATGACTAACTAATAAAAAAAACAGGGTCTGTAGTTGGTCATAATTATCTTTTTTACCCATTTTTGATTCTTGTAAATTATCCATTTTTTAAAACAAGACAGTTAATAAATACTCTAAACCTTATCTAAAATACATATACTATATGTATAATTAACAAATCTTATATATATATATACATATAACATATATACTTGTAATAATATAGACCAATCTTTAACTAAAAAACATTATAGCAAAAAGACTGCAATATTTAATCACTTTATTTTTGAAATACTGTGGTGTTAGATATTTATACAACAGCATATTTATTTTAGAAAAGTATTTTTCTATTATATTAGATAACTCTCTAGTTGCTGTTTTATTTTTGCATTCATTAATTAATACTACCCTTAACTATCTATTAAATATTGCTGGGATTTCATCAACAATATTTGCTAATTGTCAATTTTAATTAAGTTTTTTTTTCACTATTTTATTAGAACTTTTAGTATATTGTATACTCTGAATTCTTGCAATAAAAAACCTGTTAATTGTATAACAAGCCCAACTCTCCTTACAAGTATACAAAGTATATATAAGATATTATTCATAAACAGAATACTTTTAGCTCATCATATTTCAAACTATTTCTAATACAAGGTATTACATATTGTTAAAAATTTAGATCTAAATAATTTGAATTTGTTATGTAAGTTTTTATTCAAATATTTTTTTAAATTCAATCTAATATGAAATATATAATAAAAAAAGATAAGTCTTTATATAATTATTTTGTATAGCTAATATTAAAACAAGATTTGCATTAAAATATATTACTGTTAATATAACTTCATAAGCTACTTTTAGTTCATCTAAAATCTAAAAAAATGTTATTTTAGTTTTGTTCTCTAGCAATATTACTACTGCTACTATCAAATTTCAAAAATCATTATCAACAATAGTAACTAAGAGTAAAATCATATCAAATTAGTTGTATAATAAAGGTATTTTACTAGCATTTGTTTTTCTTAATAAAAATTCTAGAAAAATTAATACCATTTAGAAAGTTTGGCCCAAAGCAATAATTTAGCTTTGTCTTTGGTATATAGAATATGCAATTAAATATAAGCTGAAAGAAAAAAAATAAAAAAAGGCAGTATACAATATGAAAATTATATGAAGTATATACTAAATTTGATTTTATCAATCCATATTACTTTCTGTAAAGCAAAAGAGTAAAATATATTTAGAAAAATTAATAAAAAAATTATTCAAAATAATTAAAAAATATGTATTAATACACAAACTTATTTCTATAAAACAAAACATTTTTCTTATCAAAAAAAAAATTAGATTTCAAAGTATCTTTGAAATCTATCAATTTTTTTTCAAAGAAATCTTAATAACCTATAGGATTATTTGTAGATAAATTGATTAATTTAAAAGATTAGAATCTATTTACATAAGCAGCTTACCCAAAAGCAATACCAATTACTAAAACAACTATAATTATAGAGTTGCAATAGCATATGGGGCCTTTGCAATAGAAAGGGCCCAAACTCCCCAAAAATTAAAAATGAGTTTTTTCAAGATTCAAATAAAT